GTAGAGCGTGTATGGCCCTTTCTCCCTTTGCAGCCTGTGCCTTGCAGTGCTGCATCTCTAGACTTACTGATCCTAGCATTTCCTTGGACGAGATGTTTCGGTGTTCCACCAGGGAACGGTCGACCCAAATGCCCAAGTACTTGTAGCGGTCAACCCGCGGGATCTCTCCCGCGGAGGTCATGAATGTGGTGTTCGAGTAGGCTGCAATTTCCTCCTCGTCCGTGCTCCACAACATAACCCCGCATTTCGGAATGCCCAATTCCATGCCCCACTTTTCAGCCCACTCCGCTAGCTTGTTGCATGCACCGGCGGTTGCCGTTGTCGACTCTTCGAATAAGACGAGGTCGTCAGCGTATAACCCCCCTTTGCAGGACTTATCTTCCTCTAACCCTCCGGAAGGTGACCCGCCAGCTTTACCTGGTACGTACACTCCCGCCGTCGAGCAGTCTTGGATAATCCGGTTTATGAACAGGATGAACAAGAGTGGGGATAGTGGACAGCCTTGTCTTGTACCTCTTAACATGCCAAAGGTACGTCCTAGCCGCCCACCCGTTCGAACCGACATTGCGGAATTCCCATATATTGTTTTCAAGAAGTCCAGGAACTTGCCCCGGACTCCAAGATGGGACAACACTCGGTACAAGGCGCCGTGGCTAACCTTGTCGTAGGCTTTCTTGAAGTCAACAAATATACCATAAGTCGACTTTTTGCACAAGTGTCTACGTCGTACTATTTCTGACAGTACTAGGAATTGGCTTATCGCCTCTTCTGTGAGTAATACGTTCGAAGTGTACAAACGCGTACTAACGCGTCGAAGTCGATCCCAAGGGCTTGCACGCCCTGAGGGTTACGGCCATCGACAAGATGGTGGATATCATGATCGGCGCGCCCGAGGTACACAGGGTTGTTCTCTCATGGCGCTACGTCGAGGATGGACCCAACAAGGTCGCCCTTATCAATCAGATCGCTAGGAGCCTGAGCGCTAAGGACGTATACTCCGTCAACGAAGGCCCCGCCCCATTCGACATCGTGTACAGCTCCCGCGAAGGGAGCTTGCTGGACAACATCAGAGGTGGGATGCGGAACGCCGGGCTGGACTTCGTTCAGTACGCGCACCCCGCCTTCTTCTGGCCCCCCGCGATCGTACACAACGACCGGCGCGGGCTAGGAAACTCCTCGTCTGCCATGTGGACTGCGAATTTCGACAAGGCGCCGGGTCAGGAGACGTTGGAGATCTTCCTCCAACAAACCAAGGCTGACATCGTCGTCGCCTTCCGCCTATGTGAGTGGTCTAGTCGCAGATCACAATTTTCACACTCTGACCCATCGTCCTATAGTCCATGTCTCCCCTACGGGGAACATGACCCCTACCTTCGCGTGGGGCCTGCGTGCGGCTAAGGAAGGTGGTTTCGCAGAAGAGGACGTGGTGGTAGAGCAGGCGACGCTGGAATGGGACCCCCACTGCTCGTTCTGTGGTACGGGCGCCCCACTCGAATCGCCTCACACCCACCTCAGTGCCCGTTCGTCGCGACGCAGAACAAGATCAGGGCGCACTCGGACCACCTCCCTCTCGTCATCGAAGACGGGATCGTCGTACGCAAGGACGAACTGGTGCCCATCGACTACTCGCTCACGTTGAGAGAATTACGCTCGGCCATCGCCTCCCTTCAGAACCGCGTCGACGTCTTGGAAAAGGCAGCGGGGGTGAAGAACAAGGATACGGCGGAGTCGTCCAAGGAGGGTAAAAAGGATGGTAAGAAGGGTGGTGCCAACCCTGGTGGTGACGTGAAGGGGTCGAAGAAAGGCAAGGAGAAGGCGAACGAGTCGGTTCAGGCGTCGGGGAGTACCAGTGGCAAGGAGAAACCCAAGCCTCAAGGAAAGAAGAAGGGTGGTAAGAAGGGTGGCAAGTGATCTCTTAGCGTTGTCGTAGTCCCCTTATCCTCGTCGTTCTATGTCCCTCGTTCCTTTGTGGTTGTACATGTATCCATGCGCTGCGCCCCTCGGGGCAAAATTATACCTGTCGTTCTCCGTTCTTTGACTTATTGTGTGATTTTGGGACCCAAAAAACAACTCTGGGATATAACTTGGTTGGCATTTTGGATTACGGGCCTATGGAGCGTGTTTGGCTAACGTTTTGGGGGTGATGGGGCAAGCTGCTGGCCGAACCAGTGGTGTCCGAGGGAGGACGGCTTCCAGATACCCCCCCTCGTTGGTCGTTGGGTTCGCAACTTGGGTTGAAGCGTAGGGAACCGTGTACGAGGCCCAGCTCTCCTCGCCGCTGGAACACACCTCACATGTACGCCTGACTCTCGTGGATGCGTCCTAGAAGTGAACCCTAACTCTTATACATACAGTGCATGGCGGAAACTAATTCTCTAGAGGAATGGGAGGACCCGAGAACTCCCTCAGAGACTTCGACTATCCGTCAGGCTGGAACGGACAGAGAACACGAGGTCTATAAACTAAACCATCCAGTCAGACCCATTGGGTCAATAAGTAAGACGGAGGGATGTATTCGTCTAGTGATATTCAACACGCAGGACACTACAGCCCGTGAGGCGTGGACAGAGCTGAGGTACATTCTCCAACCAGAGGTGTACCAATCCATAGTCCGTCTGAAATGTGTCAAGTACCGCAACTCCAAACCAAGAATTGACATCTGGGTAAAGAGTGAGTTATCGCAACAGATCCGACGCGAGATCCGAGCGATGACAAGGGAAAGAACACCGTCTCTAACAAAGATCTTGGGCAAAATGGGCCCAGATGGTTCCCGCATCAAAGCCCGCTCATCATGGAGAGTAGCCGAGTGGATACCCTTCCGTGAACGAAATAAACACTCGTTTGATCTTGGAGACAGAGGCCAAGTACCGACGAACTCGACTATCCTGACTTGCAATGTAAACGGATTCCATAGCAAGAGAGCGCAGGTAGAAGAGCTTCTGGAAAAGCGTAAGGCGGTCATAGCGGCGTTCCAGGAAACGCTGGTGGGACCGGCCCACTACCCCATCAGGGTGAACGGGTATAACACCTTTGCAGTACCATGGCAAGAGGGATTCAGGGGGACAGCGTTACTAGTCGATGACAGGCTGTCCTCCTACAGAGTCCCCCATAAGTTAGGCAACAGCGTAACTTATGTTCGAGTATCTGGAATCCCTGGTCTAGGTAAACCTATGCACGTCATGTCAGTGTACTCCCCCTCGGGAGGGAGCCACAGATCTGACAGAACGAGGCTTATCAAGGGGCTGGGGGATCTAACTAGAGAGATACTCGAAAAGGACGGAGGTGCATGTGTCGTCGCCCTAGGCGACTTCAACCTAGAGTCCGGACAACTGGACTCAAGGCTGGCGAATTCTGGTGGATATATGCAGCGAGTCCGACCGAAAGGATCGGATATCTCACGTTTCCCCACACGAGGAAAGGCGAGGGCCCTAGACCATATCCTGGGTACACCCTCTGCCTGTCTATTCCTGAAAGCGCCGCGTGTACACCGCCGATACGACTTAAGTGATCATAGACCAGTGGCGGCTAAAATGCGAGTAGCTCCGCAAATGGCTGAACAGCCGCCCGTACCACCACTACGATACGATGGTCGAAGACTACGAGAAAAGTCGATGCAGATAGTCAATGATAACCGTTGGCTAGCCCTCACAGTAGATGAAGGAGAAGAGACCGTAATGGAGGTTACGTCGTTGGAAAACTCCTTCAGGACAGTGTACGATACCGCCTTAG